GGCTTACCAGCGATGGTTGAGTCTAAACATCGATGGGAAGCCAATATCCTGCAGATCCCAAATTTTTTCAATCCCATAAATCAAGTCAATCACCCCTTTAATGTATTGGTCCGTTGGAGCCTATTTTGGCACTATAAAAAGGGGTGTTTGGGTCTGCTTTTCTCATAAATTCACTTCACAACATCCATACTCTCATTGCATTCAAATATCATAATTTTCCATAGCTTTCTAGAGCCATTTGTGTGTGAAGGTTGAGTTGTTCTTGAGCGTACTTAGTTTACTCATAATCTACTCTACAAGAGAGTCTCGTTCTTGAGTGTACTTGTGTTCTTAGACACGTTGAGAGAAAGTATTTCTCTCGTTGATTCAAAGGAAGGTCTGTTTCCTTTGAAGGATTCGTTGAGGTTCGTGTGACTCGAACTCTCAAGTTGTAACGGTTTGTTAAGCACCCGCAAGCTTAACGAGATAGTAGTGTAGCTCGAGAGAGTCTCTCGGGAGGCTGGATTAGCCACAAGTTGTGGTGAACCAGGGTAAAATTCGGTGTGCCTTTTACTCTTCTCTTTACTTCTCGTTTAATTTTTAATTCCTGCGATTTCTCCGAACAAACGCTATTCACCCCCCCTTTAGCGTTGGTCTATTATTCTAACAAATCGCATAACACGATACACAAGAAGTATGATATGGCTTAGTTGAGGTGCTTAAGAAGGGAGAGTTTAACCGATACGAGCCATTTATTTTTGGGTCGCAAGCAAACCAGGTTGTGTATGTGGAATACCCTTGCACGCAAAAGACTAAGTGTGATTGGATTGCAGTGTGCCAGGTTCACCCTAGAGGTAATTGGATTGACACAAAAAATACACTAGAATCAGTAGACAAGGTGCAACAAGAACCTTTTCAAGCAAATGGGACCGAGAGAACCACAATCCTGGAAGTGACATAAGACGATGATATCATTACTCTATCACGTGAGGGAGATGCTAATTTCGCAAAAGATGATAGTAACACTGAAGAAGAGGATGAAGAACCAATTTTAAGCTCGATGACTCAATAGAAGAAGAACAAGACTCAACAGAGAGCGAGTGAAATTAGAATGACGAGTAAACATGTTTCCAAATGTTTCTTATGCTGTTAATGATTGATATATGTTTTGCTATATGAACTTTATTTTGTTTTATGAGCTAACTATACATTATTTTCATTTCTGTATAGATGAACAACAATGATAACCCCCCTCCCCCCACGCCGACTGATTTTGAGGTGTTGGCACGTTTGAGGAGGTCCGTCATTGGTAGATGGAGACCCTGTTCTTGCCAGGGATCGAGCACAGCCACTATGTAATGCCCCAAAACCCGGCTTGATATTTTTAATTAATTTATATAATTAATTAATTACTGAGTCGGTCAAAATGAAGATTATTTTCTAATTTGTGTATCTAATATGAGAGTTGACCAACGTTGTAAGGCTCGCTGTTCTGAACCTGACCGCGCAAACAGATTGAGAATTGGACTTACTGGGCCAAAGATGCGACTGACGAATAAGGTAATTGAGCCTAAATCTATCATAACTGGTTGGAATGTGTAAATTGACCCTAAAATCTATTTAATTTTATACTCCGTATTAAATAGGTAGGGGGTTACACTTGACGCACTATCTCACTTTCTGATTCGTTTTCTTCCGTTCAACTCCCAGCTCTTTCCGTCGACTTCCTCTGCTCTATCCGGCGTCGCCATTCAGCGGGTTCCACAAGCCCAATCGGCGGTGTCCGTCCCAGGGAAGCAGCGTCGGCATCCACAGTTCCTCTCGCAGTCTCTCTCTCTCCCCGTTGCCATTTCGTCCGCCCATCGCTGAGCAGAGCCGGCGCCGTCCATCGCCGAGCAGAGCCGCCGCCATTCTTATCGTCGGTACATCGCCGTCTCCTTCATCGCGCGCCCAAGCCAGCGGGAACCAAGGTTGCAGTGGCGGTTCTTCCTTCAACCCTAGCCTTCAATTTCTTCAACTTTTTTTGAGGTGAGACGTGGTCCTATACCTAGCCTTCGTGTTAATTCATAGATTAGGACTCCCTTAATGTATAATCTTGAAATTTGATTGTGAAAATTGTTGTTGATAATTGATTTGGGTGTGGATTGATATTTTGGGGTTGCTGCCGCTCGTTTTTCCGGCGAAATGCCGCTGGCAGTCCGGCCCATCTCCGGCAGTGGCCTGATGACAGTCTGGTGGTTCCCATTTGGGTTCAATTGGAGCTAATTGGGTGCAATTGGTTCCAATTAGGTTCAATTGGAGCTAAATGGGTGCAAATCGGGTTCAATTGGGTTCAATCAGGCTGTTTGGGTTCACATGGGTGTAAATGGGTCTGATTGGGTTGTTTTGGATTGATTGGGAAGCTATTTGGGTGGATTTTGGACCTCCAAACCTGGCTGCTTGGTCGGGTTTTGGGTCCGGGCAGCCGGGTCAGCTACCGGCGGTGGTGCCGGGGTTGGTCCAGTGACGATGGGGACTGCTCCGGCGAGGGCAGCGGGCTTGAGGATCGATTCCTTGGGCTCGATTCCGCGCAGGTAAGTTGGGTTAACTGTAATTTGGGTTGTTTAATTATGCATGACCGTAATCGTGGGTCTTTGGCCCGGATAGGCCGCTATGTGATTTGTTGTGAATTGTGAACTGAGATTTAAATTAAACTGATCTTATTGGTGAATATTGTGGATTATGAATAATATATGAGAAATAGGCCACCTAGTATAATTAGGCAGACCTGAATTGGATTGACTGATGAAATCACCAATAGGATATGGTTAGGGAAATTGGCAATTGCAGGGCGTCGTCGCACCCCCGGTGGTCTTGAGTTAAAAACGTATGTACGGGAGTCCGCGACCTGTCCTGGCATCGCAGGGACAGGGGCTTCAACCCGCCCAAAGTGAATCTCCTTTGGGTTTCTGAGCTGGCCCTTTTATAGCATCGCTTGGGGTGCCATGACTCAAATCTAGTTAACATGAAATAAAATAAGGACGTGATATTCAAATGGAAGGTGTTAATATAAATATGTTTATATAAGCTATTTTTTTTCTCCGTGATCACATGTTGTTGTTTAATTGTATGTTAATGAGGTGCTATTCTGTGAGTTAATGCTGGCCTAGGTATATTTTCACTCAGCGTTTTTTTGAGCGTGTAGTCGTTGTTGTTTGACTGCACGCAGGTAGGAACAAAGATTTGGATGGGCAACCCGGGGGGCAGTGAAGTCGTGGTGTGGCGTGGATGACTCATGTTTACTTTAATAATTAAACTACATTATTTTATTTGATTATATGGACTGTTGGACATTATTTTAGTTTTCTTATGCTTCCGCGACGTTTGGAATTATTTAATCACTCCGATGAACTTTGTTTTAGTTTGAACTCTTACGGGCGAATTTTATAATTGATTTAATTATTTATTTAAGTAAAGAAAATTTATGCATGCGAATACCAACTTAGTAACAACCCGGTTCACTAACTCGTTGGTTCGGGTTACGCGGGTTGGGATGTTACACACTACATCCACAGACATTCCCTCTATTACCTCGAGTCCATTCACTGACACACAGGTGTCCCCTCCACCCCACGTACTATGCCATCTGGACCTTGTACGTCAAGTACGCAGCTCTCCCCTTAGAAACTAATATAGTAGAAGTTCCAACGGATAAGCCATTAGAGTGATGTTTCATTTATCACGAAACTGAAACTTAATATCTAAGCTTGTTAATAGTTGTTTTTTAATGCATGTATTATTGTGTTATTGTGTTAATAGCATCTAAGGTCGGAGAGAGTACTGAGGATCGGGAGGATGGAGTTGGCGATGACCACGACTCCAAGGACCGCGATGCCGAGGGACGCAATGGCAGGGCTCGTGATGGCGAGGACGAGGTCCGCGATGATAAGGACCAAGAGGGTGGATATCACGAGGGTCCCGGTCATCACGGTCAGTTTCATCACAAGTTGTCAACAACAACGACGTTCAGTCAGTCAATTCATGCTAAGGATAATGTCAATTTCCTTGTATTGTATTTTAACGAGGTTTTGCAATAACTATCGTTTAACAAACGATTATGATGTAATCGCGTATTGTGTCCTAACGAATTAGACAATAGCTTTCGGATAGATAACATAGTTTATTGATCCTAAACGTTTGCGTTTGAATCAATGATCAGATCGTGTTGAGTCTACATGAAGATCTTCGACACTGAATTTACATACATTGTTCAAATATCATCATTAATCGGTTCTTAAGGATCTTTTCGTTCCCATGCAGATAATTTTCACTTTCGTCATTTGCGATGCAATAAACACCTTGATATCAAATTAGAGAGTCATATATTTTTTGTTTATTCTTTCGTATCTTGCCGAGTACGAAAATTGAACTTGAGTCTATGCTCGATACAATTTCAGTACTAACAATTATTATCTAATGGGAATTTAATACAATCAATATTTATCTAATAAATTCTAATTACCTTTCCTGAAGCAGAGGGATGCGAGAGTCGTGGATGTGACTCACATTATTTTTTTAATTTTTTTTAAATTCAAATTTTGATCCGAAGATCGGTTTTAAAACCATTTGCTCTGATACCAAATTATAACACCCTAATCCATCCAGGTCTGCAGCCCCTTTTGGACTAAAGTATTAACTTGGAAATAGTAAAAATTTAAAACTTTTCAAATACTTTTATTTATCACAATAATACTTTTTATAACGTAAACAGTTTAGAGTTTTCAATGATGCAGAAGCTTAACAATCACAATCACAAAACATAATTTAATTATGTTCTTCCATTCAAAACCATCACATCCATCTCGACTATCTCGCCTCCATTTGCCTCCAAGATCACGTGATATCATTCTTTCCTTTTACCCGCGTGTAGCAAATAAAACACACTACACGCTCAACGGTGAAGCTGAATAAGCATATCTAATGCGTTGAAAATCCATATAAATTGAATCTCAATTCATAACCAAATAATTTGATAACATGCACATAATGTTCAGATCAGATATTCAATATTCATCATTTAATGTTCAACATTCAACATTCATATTCAACAATATCCTTAAACTATTCTTAGTCTAAGGTCAATCTCTTTAATGTTTACCAACTCTTAAACGAATTCTAGTTTAAGGTTCTTAAACTATATTCAAGTTTAAGGTACTCCTAACTAACCCTTAAGGTATGTCTAGTTTAAAATACAAATTTTCAAAATCTTAAACTTACCTTCGCTTAAGGTCATCCAGAAACCGACAGCGTAGTATTCACTGTTGGGTTGGGTAGTACCCCCAAACGAGTAGGTACTCAAGTTTGGTTCTTGGATCCCGTACGTACGTTTTAACCCTGGCCACCGGGCATCATACCCGCAAGGCCTAACTTAAATGAGTATATTTTAGAGTTCTTCTACATACCCTTCAAAATCAACATCACTATGATATATCTTAGAGTTATTCTAGATACCATTTGAATCAATATCAATTAACTAAAATGGTTATTTGTGTATATCTTAGAGTTCTTCTAGATACCCTTAACAATACATATTATTTTCATAATCATCAATATATTAATTATGATTTAATCATTCATAATTATCATTTTAATAAGAATATTCATCAAGGTTTTATCATCATAATCATCAATCAATAATCATCATCATAATCATCAATTAATAGTAATCATCATAATCTTCGATAACAAACAGCGGCCTAGTGTCGAGTGTTAACACCCTAGCTTACCGTCATTCATCACATAAAATTTTATTTGTCAAAAACATCATTTTCATTGTGGAAAATCATCTTTATACTGTTCATAATTAATTGGTATCAAAATAGAATTTCATAGTTCAAAGATCAAGTTTTCTGATCAGTAATTGATTAATGTATGATAGGAAGATTAATTATGTAGGATAAAATAATCAATTATCAGCTATTAACAGATTAATCAGAATTCATTAATCAATTAACATGAATTAATCTATTAATCATCCATGAATTAATCTATTAATCAACCATGAATTAATCTATTAATCAACATGAATTAATCTGTTAATTGATAAATCAGCATGAGTTAATCGATTAATGTCTACTGTTCATCGTCTTCTTCCTCGGTCCATTTTCGAAAATATCATTTCAGTCACCAAACTTCAATTAAACTATATAGAAATGCTATCCAATGTTCACAGATCATTTTAGAGTCATTAATCCGTAGTTTTAACAACAATTTCAAAGTTTATGATTCTTGGTTTTTCAAACATGTTAAACACAAAACTCAACCAAACGACCGTTTATGAACGTAGAAACGATCTATACGATAATTCTAGTCACTAGATATATCTACGGGCTTACCTCGAAGCTTAACGGAGGTTTTGGAAATTTTCTGGTGAAACTTCCAGCGAACACCATAACTTGCTCCGGCGACTTCACACCAAATTGACAGCACCACTGCGTTCTCCACACTCAAGACTAACTCCCAGAACAAATTTGAAGACAAATGGTGGAGAAATAAGGTAGGGAAGTGTTTGTTATACAGTGAAGAGGAAGAGAAGAAATGTATTGCTGAGTCAGGAATATTAGCGAATCTTTCAAACGGCAGAAAAATTAGCTTCTTGGGATATACACGCCATTCCCTGATTGGGACCAATTTTGGATTCAGTTGGGGTACACTTTTTGGTCCAACTTCTCCCGAATTGAATTCCATTTCCACCGTTGCGACCAGACAGTCAAGCTCTATTCAACGACATAGTTTTTATATTTATTTGAAATACTTTTTTCGACAGCATATTTTAAGGTGTTTGACTTTGACAGAGTCAATATTGATTTAATAAACCTTTATTGAGAAAAGTTCTCTCATCTAATTCATATTATTTATTTTCATGATTTATTTTAATAAATATTTTCAAAGTTCATATCATAATTAATTTCTTTATTTATCCTTGATTTGAGTCCGTACTCTAGTTCCCAATCAAGATCATACAATTAGTCAACATATTGGATTTATCTCAATGAGATCTATCTAGATTGTGATATTGAATATCAAAACACATTTTATTTCCGGCCAAAGCCCAACAATAATTTATTTTAATCAAAACAAATTTGTTTATTTGAATAATAATTCAATATAACTTTTAGGGTATATTTTGGGGCGTTACAAAATATATCAATGATTAGCTGATTTTCTTATTTTACTTTTTTTTAATGCATATATGAATTGTAATACTTTAAAACTATTAAATTTTGTAATAATTTTAAGTTTAATTTAAATCAAATTTAAATTCATTTACATCACATCTAGTTAGAAAAAATCATATCCAATCAGATTAAATCAGATCCAATCATTCAATCAGATCAGATCAGACCCGATCAGATCAGACCCAATCAAATTAGATCAGATCAGATCCAATCCAATCAGATCAGATCAGATCAGAACTTCAAAGATTCATATCAGATTCAATTAGATCAGCCGTATTGAACAGAGCCTAAGCCTCTCTACTATAAATAAGAGGATTAGGATCCCTGCAAAACGTCATTAAGAACAAGAAGAAGAGTGAAGAATCAATAGAGAGAAGAAATCAGAAATATATATCATATTTACCTTCGTAATCTCTGAGTGCTTTTTCTCTCATTTTATAACACCTTTCCCTTTTATTTTCTCTTTTGTTTTTTTGTAATTTCTATTTTCCTCCTCCGTCCAAATAAAGATTAGTGAAATTTGCACTAAATAAGACTAAAACATAATGTCTTTCCTAATCTAGGACTTAAACTTTTTTATTCCCTAAATAGGACCTATTAATGTCTTAGTTGGAGGAATAATGTCCAGTAATGATGAACATTTACTTGAATAATGACTAATTCATAATGACCAAAAGTCCTACATTAGGAAATAGAAACATATGGTCCTATATTAGGAAAGTCATTATGTTTTAGTCCTATTTAAGTAAATTACTCATTAGATTAATAGGATTAATGTACGGAGAATTAAGGAACTAGGGACTAGGGGAGTAATTATACTCCGGTAATAATTACAACTCCCTGATTAGCATCCAGAGGCTGACTCTGTATCCGGAGACCACACTTCCCGTTCTATCCAAAATCACTTTACTCTTGAAAAATGTGGCTACATCTTCTCTTCCTCCTCCTCAACTCCGGCGCCTTGACGGCTGAGATCGCCGATCTCCGCCGCGGATTTTACAACCAGACCTGCCCGGAGGCTGAATCCGTGGTCAGGCTGGTGATGGAGAAGAGCATGAGAAGAGAAGCCAGAAGCATAGCATCCGTGATGCGCCTCCAGTTCCACGATTGCTTTGTTAACGTAAATAATTAATCCGCCATTGTCATATTATTTCGATCTCAAATCTCAAGTTAATCTCAGATTAGCTTCTAGCTCTGATCCATGATTTTTTTTTATTGAATGCGGATTAGGGATGTGACGGATCGGTGCTGTTGGACGACACGGAGACTATGTTGGGGGAGAAGCTGTCTTTGTCGAACATAAATTCACTGAGGTCATATGAAGTTGTTGATGAAATCAAGGAAGAGCTGGAGAGGGCGTGTCCGGGCGTTGTTTCGTGCGCTGATATCTTAATCATGGCGGCCAGAGATGCTGTTGCTCTGGTAATTCCACTCCACTTAATTCCTCTCTAATCCTTCTCAAATTAACTTCTCATGCTTTTAGGCATTTTAAATTACACTTCTTATTCTTTTTAAGTAAAGAATTGGGCGATCAAAAACATTATTTTTATATTAGGCCAAAGAGCTTGTGTGTATGTGGTTTAAAAAATAGACATCAATACCCTATATTTTCGAAACGTTGCAAACCCTATATTTTCGAAACGTTGCACATGCATCACTTCAACTATTTGCCTGATAGCTAATTTTCAAACCATAGGGGCATTGGTCCCAATATCTTATTTTCAATTCATTTTTAAATTTTCTAAAAGCTGTTCTCTAAAATGTTTTAAAAATTAAAATTGTTTGTGTTTTTAGCTTCTTCTTTTTTCATTTCTTTGTTTTTACATTTATTTCTCTTTTATTTTAAGATAGATGAAGTATATGACAATTTATTTTTATTTCACCCATTTTTTCTCCGTAATTTAAACACAAATAATTTTAATTTTTAAAAATATTTTAAAGAGTAAATAGAAAAATTAATTGAAATAAGAAAATGGGCTCCGATGCCCCTCTTTGTTTGAAAAGTGAATAGAAAATAGAGGCAGGAGGTCTCTGTATAGCATTTTGAAACCATAAAAATTTCATTTTAGTATTTTAACCTTTTTATTTATCATGATCTCACCTCGTATTCCTTACCTCCCGCACTAATGAAGTAATGATATCATTTCCTAAATAAATATCTCATTTTATTTTAAGAAAAAAATAATATTTCCCTCCGTACCAAACCAAAAGACACGATTTTACCTCACGAAAATTAAGACAATTTAAATTGATATTAACTTCTTAGTTTTGCCTAACATATGGTTGGAATATGAGAGAAGATAGAGATGAATCGATTGAAATAAGAAAGTAAAAAATGATTAAAAGATAAAAAAACTAAATATAGTGGCATTATGGCATTATGAGAATATTAGTAGATTGGTTATGCCAAATAAGAAAATGAGTATTTTGATTTGGGACGACCAATTTCAAAAGTGCGTCTTTTACTCTTTTTGTTTGGAACAGAGAAAATATTTCATATAAATTTTCAATTTTCCATCAAATTTAGTCGCATACTTTTTTTATACAATATTTCTCATCATTTCACTTTCATGTCCATCCCAAAATTTTTCAACTTTGGATAGAGAACTGGTAGTCTATAATTTTTTTAAATCAAATTTTAAATACTCACTTTTTTAAAAACGTTCTTTCATTAAATTCAAATTATGCCAATTAATTCAGAAAATAATATGCTACATTGCTACAAAAATCAAATTGGGACAATTTTTCAACCACACGACTTTCCGGGGACGGGAGTATTATTTTTCACCCCTGGGAATAATTTTTTGCCCCGGACTATTTTTTTCACCCCGCCTCCCAAAGAGGCTCACTATGGAAAAAGTTTGGCTTTTGACTGATTTTCTTTTTCTTTTTCGTATTCTTTTTAGGGAAATGGTAGTCACAAATACAAGAGTAACGAAATGCATAATTTTGTTATTTATGTATTTTTTTAGTTATTTAAAATCATTTTATTTTTTTGGGTGGTGAACAAATAGTAAAATTATGTATTTCTCATTCTTTTAACAAAAAATAAACTACATCAAAATATTTTTAAAATGGACAAATTGAGTTTATATTATTAAATGAATTTTTAGTTTCCACTTATCGTTAAAATAGTTTTTCAAATGGCTAAATAGCACTAGTACCTCCCATGATTTGGAAAATAGGTACAAATACCCCTCATATTTTTAAAATTTATTTCTAAAGAAAGAGGCATTGGTGCCCATTTTCAAACCATAGGGGGCACTACCGCACTGGAGCTTATTTCTTATTTTTCATTTATTTTTTGTTTTTCATTTTTTTCCTTTTTTTATTTTATTAATCAAGAGTTTTTTAAATTTCTTTTTAAAATTATTTTTATAATGTACTTAAAATTTAAAATTATTTTTGTTTGAAAAAAAGTAATTAGCATATACTGCATCTATACGTCTTAAATTAACAATTTTTATTTTTTGTTTTCCAAAATAAAAAAGTAAATACTATTTTTATGAACTTCAAAAAATGTTTGAAAAAATAATAAATAAAATAAAAGAAAAAATAAAAATGAATCCGTTTTGGACATTCCAACTCTAAAGACTTTTTAGGCAATTTGAAAATTCTTTATGTATAACTCTTTTTTGCATGTTTCAATTTTTTGTCAGTTCGTTTTTCAATATTTTATTTTTATTTTTTTTATTCAAGATATTTTTTGAACTTACCAGAAAAAAATACAAGAAAAGAAAAAGTGAAAATGTAAGAGTTAAAAAAGAAAATAATAAATGAAAAATAAGAAATGAGCACGAGTGTCCCCTATAGTTTAGAAATTAGGTACCATTGCCCCATCTTCGCCGGAAAATGATTAGAGGGGGTGTAGGTGCAATATTTTGAAACCACGGGGAGTTTAGAAATAATAAGTTTTGAAAACAAAAAGGATATTAGTGCCCATTTTTCAAACCATAGGGGACATCATATCTATTTGGCCTTTTTCAAATAATTTTGTCATTTAATAGTTCTTAAATCTATGTAGAGGATCATGATTATAATAGTTCTTTAAAATGGACTATACTGTATATAAGAATTCCAACGTTTTAAGGGAAATTTTTAGGAAATTATGAAAGTTTAAGGCCAAGACTCCCAAGAGTAGTGTAAGGGTGTAACCGATATTTTAAGTAAGCCACTCAAAAAGGGATCTTGTCAGAAACTGTGTTGTAGCTCTAGTATGAGAAACGCAGAATGCTACAACACCTTCTCTAACGTCAGTACGCAAGCAAAATAAAAACAAGATAAAGACATAGAGATTTGTTTACGCAGTTCGGAGCTGAATCTCCTACGTCTGCGAGGTCCACATCCGTGTAATAGCCTTTTCACTAGATCACCGTAAGAATTACACAATCAATCTCAACAGAACCTTCTAATGAATTGACTTGTCTACTTACGCGACCTGACAACAAACTCAGTTTGTGTCTCTATCAAGTCTATTAGACCTTCTTCCTACTCTGCGTGAAGGATGTGTCTCTGACCTTTGCTTAGCCTATAGGATCTCAGCAGCTGAACAATTTCAGAGAAGATTAGTCGATGATCTTCTCCTCACCATGCATGTAACGTAACTGGATCTCTCACACAACAACGACTACTACTATTTTAATGTGAAATTTGCACTAAATAAGACTAAAACATAATGACTTTTCTAATGTAGGACTTAAACTTTTTTATTCCCTAAATAGGACTTAATAATGACCTAGTGGAAGAAATAATGTCCATGATGGACATTTAGTTGAATATTGACTACTTGATAATGACCAAAGGTCCTACATTGGGAAATAAAAACATATGGTCCTATATTGGGAAAGTCATTATGTTTTAGTCAGTCCTATTTAGGTAAATTTCTCTATTTTAATTCATACACTAATGATGTACAACTACTACTATTTTAATTTTCTAATGATGTACACAATATGGTATGTCTTACAAAATTAAAATTACCATTACAAACATAGATACAATTAAAAAGAGAAAAATCTTCGAAACACATTATACATTCCACCGCACGTTAGAAGTTTGAAATGCCTCATACGTCCCAAAATTAAGCTTGTTCGTTTTTCTTCGAAATTAAGAAAAATACTGGAAGTGAATCGGTAAATTTTTATGGAGAAAGATGATCAAACAATTTGAATGGCATATAGTTAATTTCATAAATGGAAAATAGATAACTTTGGCAAGTATCAAAAGTAATATGAAAACTGATTTTTACCATGCCGGTCTTGTAATGTGTTTTGTGTAAATGTAGAGTGGAGGACCAAATTGGGAGGTGAAGCTGGGAAGGCTGGACAGCTTAACAGCAAGCCAAGAAGACTCAGACAGCATAATGCCAAGCCCAAGAGCAAATGCAACATATCTCATAAACCTCTTCACCAAATTCAACCTCTCAGTGCAAGACCTTGTTGCCCTTTCAGGCTCCCATTCCCTTGGCAAGGGACGGTGCTTCTCGGTCGTCTTCCGCCTCTACAACCAGTCGGGGACCGGGAGACCGGACCCCGCCATGGACTACGAGTTCCACGAGAAGCTCGACAAGCTGTGCCCCCTCGGGGGCGACGGGAACGTCACGGGGGACTTGGACGCGACCCCCGAGGTGTTTGACAACCAGTACTTTGTGGACTTGACTAGGGGACGGGGGTTTCTAAACTCGGACGAAACACTGTTCACTACCCCGAGAACCCGGGGGTACGTCCGGCTGTACAGCCGAGACCAGAAGGCATTCTTTGATGCATTCGTCGAGGGGATGGTTAAGATGGGCAATCTCCGGTCAGGCCGGCCCGGAGAGGTCAGAAGGAACTGCAGAGTTGCCAATGGCCACTTGCCCCCAAGAAACTCCCTTGCTTCCTAATGAGGACATATCTTATTGTCATTGGTGTGTGTGAATATTTACAATATGTTGAAGTTCTAATATGCAACAGTTCATAGTTCAAGTGTTTTACTCCATCAAATACGTCTAAAGGGTTTTTCATGACAAAGATCTTTTATTTTACTAACGGTTGAGTTTTAATCTCTTCAGAGTGCACAATTTGTTTTCTTTCGTAAATTAATTATAGTACAAGAATATTATACATACTTCCAATTGATGAACAATTCGTTTCTACTTAGTGTACATGTAAATCTCCATTTGGTAAAACTAATAATCAATATGATCTCAAATCTGTCATTATATTACATAGTTACTGCAATTAAGGCCACACTATTTTTGCCAAAGATAAAAGGGAGGAAAGATAAAAATGTTCAAGTTGCCTCATATAATATAGTACAGAAAGTATGAACAATTCATGACTAATTTCCTGCGAACTGAAAACATACAATCACATCCAGCTAACACACCGCTAGACCACTACTAACTTACCTGGACAGAAGATATTACAACTGGAAGCAAAATAAACCATGATTTCCTGCGCGAAAGCTATCCGGCAAGCCTAATGTAGAAATGGTGAAGAAACAAAAAAAAAAAAACCAAACTTCTGCACATCCACTGAAGAGACTACGTTTTTCATGACCACATAAATTTTCTGCATTGTACTGAGCAAGTAGTTAGTATTTTCACTTCAACTACATAGCTCCACCAATTATGCCCCACTAATTACCCTTGGCAACAACTGAATCAGTAAAGATGAAAAGAATTGGCAACGTTGAGATGATTGGCAAGTCGTCTGATGGCTGGTTGTACATATTCAGAGACTGGAGACAACGAATCAGGAAGCTCGGGGATGCAGACAGGCAAATATTGGTCACTTTCTTCACGAAGGCAAAATAGAGTAAGCACAGCGCGACAAAAAATGAATCTGGTTATGAAAAAAAGTGAAGTGCATCCATTAGATATTTTAAACAGTAAGTATTATGTCAATGACATCCAAAGCTATATCAATGATAAGGCTAAGAGTCTGATCAAAATTAACAACAAATCCAAAGGGGATGCTTAAGCAAAACAGACTAGGCTGCTGGATTAAGATATCAAAGCCAAAATAGTCTATTGCATGTGTTTAAAAAGACAAAATAACAACATCTTCTTGTTCCTATCAGTATTCTACTAAATTTAAAATCCAAAAGCCATAAAGGAGGCCAAAGGAAATAAAAGCAAAATACCTCACATGACAAAACAATTGATGTCACAAAGCAATTTGAAAGTAAATACCATTGTAAACTACCAACTTGAAGGGAAGAGAAAGCAAAAAAACCTCAAATGAAAAATCTACATGACCTGGAATATTAATAAGATTCAAGAAGTATGAATCACCACCATACATGAAACACACTTGAGAAGCTTGGAAGAAGAATAAAAAAATCATTAATCAGTTTATCTCAATTGTGTAAGATTGATTTCAGGCATATACAAGGGAAGTATCTTTTTTATGGTTTGGATTCATTTTTGTCAGTACATATTTATGCTTTCTTTGTTTTCACATTGTTTACTTTTGTTCTGACATTCAATCTCATGTTTTTTCCCTATGATAAACTTTATTTCATAATTCATAGAATTGACAAGAAAATTTTGATAGACTTCATTTCACAATTCATAAAGTTGATTAGAAATTCCGACTATAATGTCTGTGTAATTTATAAACAAAAAAAGAGGAGTAAAAAATTTTAGAATTTCAATTACTGCAAATTTACCTAAGTGCGAGGAGGTTCAGGTGCGACGGGGTGGTGTCCAAGACTTCACCTCTGCGGAGAGCTGGTCGGTCATCAAAGTAGTATCCCAAATAAAACATACTACTACCTCCTCGTCAATCAACAGCATGTTAGAAGAATCCCACAGTTGCAAGAGCTGGAACCTTGATCATACAGCAACTACTTGCCTTACACGTTAGATTTTAGACTAGAATACAATCCTCTTTTTTTTTTGCTAATTGAACCCTTGATGATGGGCGCCATGCCAAGACTCTGAATATCACTATTAATATAATAAACACTCCTACCAAATCAAACACTTCACAGAGACAAAGTGTAAAAGAGGTTAAAGAAAATGAACAAAATTACTCTGAAATTCTTAGCAAATCAACCAATTGCACCATGTCCGAACTAATTGAGATCCAATTTTCCTCTCTTGACTCGAATGGCAATTACCTGAAACATCAACAATTTTCACGAATAGGAGTAATTAAAATATAATTCGAGTAAAAAAATACTCCGTAAATATATTTGGAGTAGCTGAAGAAAATTTTGTGCTTTTTTAGGTTAGGAGATTTGATGTTATGACACCGAGCTTACCTTGATGTTCCACCATAGTTATTTAAGTCACGATGCGCACCGATGCACAAAGGGGCTCTAGCGCCTCGATGCGCGATGCGCTATTGATGCACGCGCATCACGAACACAATGCGCACATTGAGGCATAAGTAGCATAGCATCTCTAAAAGAGTAATAGTACATATAAAATGTTGAAAAACATACGAAAACCTTAGAAAGCAACAAAGAATCAAGGTATAGACTTCATGGATTTTGTTACAAATTAGGCAAATAGTGTCATGCCATTTGTTTTTGTGACCCTTGAAACATACTTCCATCTGGGATCATTAGACCCCAAAATTTAGAGATTCTTACATTCTTGAAACTTGAAAGAGTGTCCAAAATATAAATACAAAAAAGAGGTGAAAAGGGGGGAAAGCTCGCAAAAAACTGAAATAAATATTGTGAAAACAAATAATAAAAGGAGCTACTAACTTACTAAACTTATTCTCAAACCTCAAATACAAGTATACTACATCAATTTTATTCTCAAACCCGACAAATATATAGTATATTTAATTTCAAAGCAAAATTGCAAGATAAATAAAAAACTGAAATCAATAGTAAGTTTAATTTCAGTTTTTTTCACAAATGTCAAGCGCATACAAATCAAAAGCAATTGAAGTTAAAAATAAAGAATAAATAAATAAAGAGGGGCTTCGAATCTGGAATGTGACTTCAATGCAATCCAAGTCAACAAGTGATGGAGTTCTAGGGTTTTTTAAAAAATAAATGAAATTTGGGTCGCTCTTATCGGGTCAGCTCTTGAAAAAACATCATCTACTTCGACCAGCGGTCAATTACTCTAGGCGACATCTTTCCGGAAGCAACCAATTGTCACTAATCGATAAAAAATTTAAAAAAAAATTAAAATTTAAAGATGTGTACGTGATGCGCGCCTTGTAGCGCCTCAGATCGCACCGCATGATGCAATGATGCACAGTTATGCGCGCGCCTCCTGTACGTCGCCCGCATCACAAAGCTTGATGCAGAGACCCCTGCGCTTCGTGCGCATCGCGCCTCAGGTGCGCTTTTCACAACTATGTGTTCCACTGCCTCTTGAAGTTCCCTTGTTGCGAGTACTCCCTTCCACGCTGCTCCACAAAGACAGTCGAGAATTGGTTCCGGGTTGAAGAAAGCATATTGGTATTAATCAACCCACGAATTTATGACAAAAAAATTTTCCGGTAAAAATTGGGGAAAAATTGGGGTAGCCGAATACATGAATGGAAAGCTATAACGCAGTACCTGTAACAAATGAACAAAAAAGAGCCAAAATATGCTTCCTTACTGCCAATTCCATGGTAATACTGATTAGATGCTTACTCATTACCATCAGTCTTCTAATACTATATAACATATATAGCACCAAAATAAAAGAGTCATACACCAAATCAAATCTCATATACAAAGATTCTTTCACTACTTTTAAGAATCAAATAAGTCACTTGGTAAATTTGAATGACAAATTTGAAACGCTATGTCAACAAAGAACATCAATTTTTAAGAGATGCATTTATTTGAATTATGGTTAATTGTAGGTACACATATATGCTTAATAAATATGTGTGCTCACACATAAATCAAGCATGTGAGGTTTACACATGCATGTGTTCTCACATACCCTGATCAAACAATCTAGAAATTAAAGCATTTTTATATAATATTTAATATGAGCAGTAAACCTTGATGGCTCTGGTAAGAATTAAATTACTATACCAAGAGAGAAAAATAGCAACGCAGAACATGAGTTGTAAGGAGATTCATTTCATTGAATTGTGCTTAGTTATTAGAATACAAATATGAATACTTGTAAAGGGTTTTGGATTAGATTTTAGCAAAAATTGAACTTCTTACTATAAAATTGCTAGCACGGCAAAAAAAAAAAGTAAACTAGAGTAAACGTAAACTTTAAGTGGTATTGAATTACCTATTCCGATCTCAAAATTTGAAATTCCGAGTTGTGATATTTCTACCTTCGATTGAAATCCCTTTAAGAAGGAAGGAGACTTGGCAATTGTGCTGTCAAAAGAGATTCAATCCCAAACAGACATTTGTAGAAGATTAGGCCTGAATTTGAAACAAAAAATGAGTACTAAAATTTTCACAATGTCTTTGTAATTTCTAATTTCTACTTAAACAAACAATCAAAAAACAAATCAAATCAATTGATCAAAGGATCACTGAAATAATTGGCACGAATATACCGATGACTGCTTTCTTGGTTTGGCTGGCTATTGATGCAGATTGTGGAATAACAACTTTTTGCCTAAAATGGATGAAGGGCACAGTAAATAACATTTCATAAGAACAATAAAAAAACTAACACTAAATTCAAGTGCTAGTGAAAAGGAAATAGAGATCAAGAATTGACAGGAAAGATATACTATTTTTAAAACTGCAAAATAATGACAGATTCGACCTCGGTATCGATCGATAAAAAAGGAAAAAGAAATCTGATTTAGGAAATTCGGAATCAAAATTAAAAAATGTAGAAAATATTGCTCATTAACAGAATTTGAAGAATAACACGGACCTGTAAATGGCTCACAACATGCCGTCTTGTCAAGCATAGCTCCTTCCGGAATTGGATGATTGTCTACAGAGCATCTTCCGAAAATCAAAGAGGACCATTTAGTAATCACATGTCATAATAAGAAAAATTTACTAATTAGTCCATAAAATTTGTGAAAAGATTCATGCTACGCATTACCACAAAAGCATGTCTCCAATATGTATTTAAATCCAACAACCATACTCTTTCTCTCGAATTAGGGCTTTCTGGGATAGATGTTCATATATACCTTCTTCTGTAGTTTTCTTAATTAATGCAGTGTTTTAGTCATTGACTTCACCATAAATTAAATGATATTTCTGACAGTGAAAAAGATGGCAACTTAAGGCAGTGAATAAGATGGGCTAATAATAATAAAAATTTTGCTCCTCTGCACTGTCTGAGCTGTTGAGTTTTTTTGCCCTACAGTCTATGTTATGATGAGAAAATATAAGATTGTGAAATATAACACTACTGTTTTTAAGGAAATACTATACTCAAATAAGTTATAACCAAGCAGCACAACACGAAAATCAAGCCCTTCTCTTACTCTCTTTATCCCCACTTCATTCAACTCACATATTCATATGTAGGATTTGCTGCACCGAGCATTCAAGGATGTATGCATTCCAGCTGTAGCAAATGTTAAAGTCTGGTGCTTCATAACTTCATGTATAGCCATACAATCTCGGTGATTTATCTCATCAAGCTCGTCAATACAAACAACACCTCTATCAGCAAAAACCATGGCATCAATCTCCAGTATTCTTTCTCCTGTTCTAACTAAAAAACAATGCCAATTTTCAGTAAATATAGCTTTGGAAAGAATTTGTGTTTATAGTGAGAGTGTGAATATGGAACTACAAATTGCTCATGTTAACCTCCGACCCATGGCAACACCAATTGCTCAAAAATCCAATATCACGGCAACGTTCCCTTCTTCAAATAGCCAATGTAAACCTGCAGTCATTCCTCGGGTTCAAGAAAAACATGTCTAGAATATTTTTATATTGAGTAAATTACTCATCAAAACTGAAATTGGAAACCAATGTTCGTCTTCAACAATATGCTCATAAAGAAAATTGCCATCATTTATTTAAGAAAGAAATTAAGCAAGTGGCATGAAAGTAAGGTGAAACGGCTAGAGAAATGATTTGATTATCATAAATATACACTTATGTTGTAAAGATTTATTCTTACTCAGGAAATCAGTGCCTAAAATATCCATGCCATTTTACGAAGTACTATGTCAATGACATCCAAAGCTATATCAATGATAAGGCTAAGAGTCTGATCAAAATTAACAACAAATCCAAAGGGGATGCATAAGCAAAACAGATTACGCTGCTGGATTAAGAAGTCAAAGCCAAAATAGTCTATTGCATGTGTTTAAAAAGACAAAATAACATCTTCTTGTTCCTATCAGTATTCTACTAAATTTAAAATCCAAAAGCCACTATCACAAATTAAAAGTCCTTACAATTAGTTTGATCAAACCCAAGACCCCAATAACAGTCCTTACTATTTCATATATATGCTATATGTGATGAGAAGTAAATGTCACAGAATGAAAAGTGATGACCCAATTAACAAATCTGCCATAAAGGAGGCCAAAGGAAATAAAAGCAAAATACCTCACATGACAAAAAAATTGATGTCACAAAGCAATTTGAAAATAAATACCATTGTAAACTACCAACTTGAAGGGAAGAGAAAGCAAAAAAACCTCAAATGAAAAATCTACATGACCTGGAATTTTAATAAGATTCAAGAAGTATGAATCACCACCATACATGAAACACATTTGAGAAGCCTGGAAGAAGAATAAAAAATTATTAATCAGTTTATCTCAATTGTGGAAGATTGTTTTCAGGCATATAAAAGGGAAATATCTTTTTTTATGGTTTGGATTCATTTTTGTCAGTAGATATTTATGCTTTCTTTGTTTTGACATTGTTTACTTTTGTTCTAACATTCAATCTCATGTTTTTTCCCTATGATAAACTTTATTTCATAATTCATAAAATTGACAAGAAAATTTTGATAGACTTCATTTCATAATTCAGAGAGTTGATAAGAAATTCCAACTATAATGTCTGTGTAATTTATATACAAAAAAAAGAGGAGTAAAAAATTTTAAAATTTCAATTACTGCAAATTTATCTAAGTGCGAGGAGGTTCAGGTGCGACGGGGTGGTGTCCAAGACTTCACCTCTGCAGAGAGCTGGTCGGTCATCAAAGCAGTATCCCAAATAAAACATACTACAAAGAAGAACGATGAATCGGTGATTACAGAAAAAAACGCAATTAGGGAAGGCTATCAAGCAAGCAGGAAGCTCAGCTAATACTCCAAAAGGAGGTGAAACACCGACGATTGATGCGAAGAAAGTGCTCGATTTTACTGAATCTGGATTGCCTGAAGAACCAGGAGATGAAATCAGAATTGAGCAACAGGCTAAACCTACCTATGCGGAAATTCTTACATCCACGGAGGTACAAACAAATCTCAGTTTCTATCAATTTGAAGAAATAAATGGAAAAAGGATTGCTATGTTTACTGACGAGGATGTGATTGAGGAAAAAGGACTCTGGGATAATGCGGTTATCTGCTACATCCTAGGAGCAAATCCAGCTCTGGAAATCGTAAAAGGATTTATCGCCAGGATCTGGAAGGGTTATACAGTGGATGATGTGAGTTTCCATAAAGAGGGCCAATATATTGTAATGTTTCAGAAACCTGAAGATAGAGATGAAATTGTGAAAAGGAAATACTACTATTTTGACAATAAATCGATGTTAGTACAGAGATGGAGCCCTGGGAAACAGCTGAATATCCAGGAACTGAGTGATGTCCCAATCTGGGTCCAATTTCCTAACCTTGATATGAGGTATTGGAGTTTATCAGGCCTGGGAAAACTGGGAAGTATATTGGGTAAACCTATCAAAAGGGACAGAGCTACTGCAACCAGAGCAAAATGGAGTTATGCAAGGATACAAATTGAGGTGCAAGTTCAACAGGAGTTCCCTGACCTAATTCACTATGTTGATAAGGATGATAGAGTGGTAACCCAGGAGGTGGTTTATGAATGGAGGCCCTCAATCTGCTCTAAGTGTGGGAAACTAGGTCACCTAGGCTCACAGTGTAGGAAGAAAGAGGGGAAACAGGAAAGGAATATCACGAGGAAAGTATGGCGCCCAAAGGAAAAGGAAGGAGAAAAGAAGGAAATGAATACCCCTGTGCAAGTACACCATGAAAAGGGCACTGAAATGCCTATTGAAGAAAAGGAACCCGTGGAGGATGAAGAAGGATTTCAAGTTGTAACTGGGAAAAAGTCAGCTAGGAGACTTACAATAGATGATCTGAGGAATCAAGGGGATCCCATAAGAGAATCCCCTTATGGCCACTACCCCTTCCTTCAATGATCATTAGCTGGAATGTGAGGGGGCTGAACAGCCTTAATAAGCAGTGGGAGGTTAGGAATATGATAGACAAACACAAACCTGATATTATGGGTATTCTGGAAACTAAAGTTAGGAGGAATAAAGAAGAAGAAGTAAGGAATAAAATTATGAAGAGTTGGGGTTTTTACACCAATGTGGATCACCATCCACTTGGTAGAATTTGGCTATTATGGAATACGAAGAGGATAGCTGTACACATAATAGACTGCTGTGCACAAGCTATACATGTGAAGATAAGAAATATAGACAATCGTGAGTATGATTATATTACCTTTATCTATGCTTTCAACGATAATGGGGGAAGGAAAATGTTATGGGACAAGCTAAGAGAATATGCAAGTAGTATGGACAGTCCTTGGTGCTGCCTAGGGGACTTTAATAGTGTACTGAATGTGGAGGATAGAGTGGGGGGTACCCCAGTCACAAATGATGACATACGGGATTTTAAAAATTGTATAGTTGATTGTGGACTAGAAGAACTGCCAAGTGAGGGGCCTTTCTACACCTGGTCTAACAAACAGGATGAGGATCACAGAATCCTATCAAAGCTGGATAGAGTGCTTGTAAACATTGAATGGATCAGGAGACATAATACCAAAACCAAAGTACTGAATGAAGGTGTGTCAGACCATTCACCTTTACTCATTAAAGAAACCAACTGCCCGAAGAGAGGAGGATGGTTCAGGTTCTGCAATATGTGGATGGAAGACCCCAAATTTATACAAATCTTGCAGAATGAATGGAAAGAGGATCTGAATCAAAGGAGCATGTATCAAATTGTTCAGAATTCAAAAAGAATGAAGGTGTCATTAAGGAAGCTTCACAAAGACAAATATAGAAGTATCCACCAGAGGGTAGATGATATTAGAGATGAGTTGATGGAAATTCAAGGGAGGATTAGGCTCCATTCTGATCAAACCTTAATCAATAAAGAAAGGGATATGAGAAAACAAATGAATGAGGTCATTAAGGCATCTCGGCAGCTGAAATGTCAACAAGTCAAACTTGAATGGATCACAGCGGGTGACAAGGGGTCCAAAATGTTCTTTGCCTGGGCCAAGAAGAGGCAACTTAATAATTATATCATGAGTATTAATGATGATGGGAGGGAAGTGGAAGGAACAGAAGCAATAGCAGGAGTTCTTGAAGGTTTCTACATCAAAATGCTCGGAACCACCATCTCCACTAAAGAGATTGATAGGGGGATAATTGAATCAGGAAGGACCCTAACTATTGAGCAGCAGTTAACATTAGTGAAGGAGTTCCAGGCAGAACAGGTAAGGGAAGCTATGTTCTATATTCCCGACTCAAAAAGCCCGAGGCCTGATGGGTATAGTAGTGGGTTTTTTAAAAAGAACTGGAATAAAGTGGGCAAACTAGTTACAAAAGCAGTGCTGGAGTTTTTTAGGGAGGATACTACCCTAAAACAAATTAATACTAGTATAACCCTCATTCCAAAGGTTAGCAGCCCAATGAAACCTGAAGATTACTAATGATCATTAGCTGCAATACTGTATACAAGGTGATATCAAAGATGATCTGCACCAGACTAAAGGAAGTGGTGCCTCATATTGTAAATCTGAACCAGTCTGCCTTTGTAAAGGGAAGAGAATTGCTCCACAATGTATTATTGTGCCAAGAATTGGCCAAAGGATACAAGAGGAAAGGAGTGACACCCAGATGTATGATGAAGTTGGATATTCAAAAAGCGTATGATTCAGTAAGCTGGAAATCAATAAAGGGTATCTTACAGGGATTGAAGCTCCCAGGGAAATTTGTTGAATGGATTATGTTTTGTATCTCCACTCCCACTCATACACTAAATGTGAATGGAGAGCAACACGGTTTCTTCAAAGGGGGTAGGGGTTTGAGACAGGGTGACCCAATATCTCCACTAATTTTAGTGTTAGTAATGGAGTACCTCACAAGGAAGTTTCATATGGTTGCCAAAGAGGAGGGATTCTCTTACCATCCCATGTGTAAAAGACTGAATATTGTAAGCCTAACTTTTGCTGATGATTTGATCGTTGTGTGCAAAGCAGATTGCAAATCTGTTAGCTGTATTATGAATGCTTTGGAGGAGTTTCAGCTAACCACTGGGCTAAGGATAAATAGGAGCAAATCTGAAGTTGTGTTTGGGGGAATAAGCCACGAAACTGAACACAAGCTACTGGAAATAACTAATATGAAGGAAGGTAAGTTCCAATTCCCATTCAAATATCTGGGGTCCCCTATAACCACATCTAGATTGAGAGGCCATGAATGCGATGCATTGGTAAATAAAATTACATCAAGAATAACAGTGTGGGGGACCAGACATTTTTCCTACACAGCCAGGGTCAGACTGATCAACTCAATGCTGATGGGAGTAATCTATTTCTGGGCAAGAATTTTCATTCTACCTAAAGGAGTGATGAAGAAGATAATGGCAATCTATAGAAACTTTTTGTGGAATGGTAAGGCAGAATACACAAAGGCACCCCTAGTCAAATGGGATGAAGTGTGCCAATCAAGGATGTATGGTGGCTTGGGGATTAAAAATGCTTTGAACTAGAATTATGCAGCCATTATGAAACTTAACTGGGACATAGCTGACAAGAAAGGCATCTTATGGGTTAGGTGGATACATGCGAGATACATTAAAGGGGATGACTTCTGGAGCTACAAGCCTAAACAAGACTCATGCCATTATTGGAAGGAAATGACGAGGGTTAAGGAGAAGTTTACTAGTATGCCTGCAAACCTACCTTATACCATAAATAGAGGGTATGATTGGTTACAAGGGGAGGGAAAAAAACCCGAGTGGAGAGAATGGGTATGGAATAAATATACTCCACCCAAATTCAGATTCATAGTATGGTTGCTGTGGAAGGGCAGATTGAAAACGAAGGATAGGGTTAGCAAGTATATGAATATCAACACGAACTGTGAACTATGAAGTATAGTGACAGAAACAGCAGAGCACCTTTTCTGGCAATGTGAGGAATCTAAATCTTTGGTTGCTTTAGTGATGAAGGACTTCAATATGCAAAGCTATGAGGGATCTGTTGAAGGTTTTGGGAGGGCAGTGCATAAGATACAAGGAGGGAAACAAAGGAAAAAGTGGATTGCGGTATGGGCTACTTGTGTTTATCAAATCTGGAGGTGGAGGAATGCCAAAATGCACCAGCAAAGAGGAGATACTGGGATGCCTACTCAACAAGCTATAGCTTATATAAGAAACTACTTAGAATATATAAATGTGTTGTAGTATGTAGTGAGTGTTTGTAGTTGGAAGTTGCATCTGATGTAACCATGTCTAGACGGTTGTTTTAGTAATAAAGTGTGTGTTTTATGTGCAAAAAAAAACATACTACTACCTCCTCGTCAATCAACAGCATGTTAGAAGCAACCCACAGTTGCAAGAGACGGAACCTTGATCATACAGAACTACCTGCCTTACACGTTAGATTTTGGACTGGATTACAAATCCTCTTTTTTTTGCTAATTGAACCCCTGATGATGGGCGTCATGCCTAGACTCTGAATATCACTATTAATATAATAAACACTCCTACCAAATCCAACACTTTACGGAGACAAAGTGTAAAAGAGGTTAAAGAAAATGAACAAAATTATTCTGAAATTCTTAGAAAATCAACCGATTGCACCATGTCCGAACTAATTGAGATCCAATTTTCCTCTCCAGACTCGAATGGAAATTACCTGAAACATCAACAATTTTCACGAATAGGGGTAATTAGAATACAATTCGAGTAAAAAAATACTCCGTAAATATGTTTGGAGTAGCTGAAGAAAATCTTGGGCTTTTTTAGGTTAGGAGATTCGATGTTATGACACCGAGCTTACCTCGATGCGCTATTGATGCGCGCGCATCACGAACACAATGCGCACATTGAGGCATAACTAGCATAGCATCTCTAAAAGAGTAATAGTGCATATAAAATGTTGAAAAGCATACGAAAACCTTAGAAAGCAACAAAGAATCAAAGTATAGACTTCATGGATTTTGTTACAAATTAGGCAAATCGTGTCATGCCTATTTGTTTTTGTGACCCTTGAAACATACTTCCATCTGGGATCATTAGACCCCAAAATTTAGAGATTCTTACATTCTTGAAACTTGAAAGAGTGTACAAAATATAAATACAAAAAAAAAAGGTGAAAAGGGGGGAAACCTCACAAAAAACTGAAATAAATATTGTGAAAACAAATAATAAAAGGAGCTACTAACTTACTAAACTTATTCTCAAACCTCAAATACTAATATACTACATCAATTTTATTCTCAAACCCGACAAATATATAGTATATTTAATTTCAAAGCAAAATTGCAAGATAAATAAAAAACTGAAATAAATAGTAAGTTTAATTTCAGTTTTTTTCACAAATGTCAAGCGCATACAAAAATCAAAAGCAATTTCAGAGTGCACAATTTGTTTTCTTTCGTAAATTAATTATAGTACAAGAATATTATACATACTTCCAATTGATGAACAATTCGTTTCTACTTAGTGTACATGTAAATCTCCATTTGGTAAAACTAATAATCAATATGATCTCAAATCTGTCATTATATTACATAGTTACTGCAATTAAGGCCACACTATTTTCGCCAAAGATAAAAGGGAGGAAAGATAAAAATGTTCAAGTTGCCTCATATAATATAGTACAGAAAGTATGAACAATTCATGACTAATTTCCTGCGAACTGAAAACATACAATCACATCCAGCTAACACACCGCTAGACCACTACTAACTTACCTGGACAGAAGATATTACAACTGGAAGCAAAATAAACCATGATTTCCTGCGCGAAAGCTATCCGGCAAGCCTAATGTAGAAATGGTGAAGAAACAAAAAAAAAAAACCAAACTTCTGCACATCCACTGAAGAGACTACGTTTTTCATGACCACATAAATTTTCTGCATTGTACTGAGCAAGTAGTTAGTATTTTCACTTCAACTACATAGCTCCACCAATTATGCCCCACTAATTACCCTTGGCAACAACTGAATCAGTAAAGATGAAAAGAATTGGCAACGTTGAGATGATTGGCAAGTCGTCTGATGGCTGGTTGTACATATTCAGAGACTGGAGACAACGAATCAGGAAGCTCGGGGATGCAGACAGGCAAATATTGGTCACTTTCTTCACGAAGGCAAAATAGAGTAAGCACAGCGCGACAAAAAATGAATCTGGTTATGAAAAAAAGTGAAGTGCATCCATTAGATATTTTAAACAGTAAGTACTATGTCAATGACATCCAAAGCTATATCAATGATAAGGCTAAGAGTCTGATCAAAATTAACAACAAATCCAAAGGGGATGCTTAAGCAAAACAGACTAGGCTGCTGGATTAAGATATCAAAGCCAAAATAGTCTATTGCATGTGTTTAAAAAGACAAAATAACAACATCTTCTTGTTCCTATCAGTATTCTACTAAATTTAAAATCCAAAAGCCATAAAGGAGGCCAAAGGAAATAAAAGCAAAATACCTCACATGACAAAACAATTGATGTCACAAAGCAATTTGAAAGTAAATACCATTGTAAACTACCAACTTGAAGGGAAGAGAAAGCAAAAAAACCTCAAATGAAAAATCTACATGACCTGGAATATTAATAAGATTCAAGAAGTATGAATCACCACCATACATGAAACACACTTGAGAAGCTTGGAAGAAGAATAAAAAAATCATTAATCAGTTTATCTCAATTGTGTAAGATTGATTTCAGGCATATACAAGGGAAGTATCTTTTTTATGGTTTGGATTCATTTTTGTCAGTACATATTTATGCTTTCTTTGTTTTCACATTGCTTACTTTTGTTCTGACATTCAATCTCATGTTTTTTCCCTATGATAAACTTTATTTCATAATTCATAGAATTGACAAGAAAATTTTGATAGACTTCATTTCACAATTCATAAAGTTGATTAGAAATTCCGACTATAATGTCTGTGTAATTTATAAACAAAAAAAGAGGAGTAAAAAATTTTAGAATTTCAATTACTGCAAATTTACCTAAGTGCGAGGAGGTTCAGGTGCGACGGGGTGGTGTCCAAGACTTCACCTCTGCGGAGAGCTGGTCGGTCATCAAAGTAGTATCCCAAATAAAACATACTACTACCTCCTCGTCAATCAACAGCATGTTAGAAGAATCCCACAGTTGCAAGAGCTGGAACCTTGATCATACAGCAACTACTTGCCTTACACGTTAGATTTTAGACTAGAATACAATCCTCTTTTTTTTTGCTAATTGAACCCTTGATGATGGGCGCCATGCCAAGACTCTGAATATCACTATTAATATAATAAACACTCCTACCAAATCCAACACTTCACAGAGACAAAGTGTAAAAGAGGTTAAAGAAAATGAACAAAATTACTCTGAAATTCTTAGCAAATCAACCAATTGCACCATGTCCGAACTAATTGAGATCCAATTTTCCTCTCTTGACTCGAATGGCAATTACCTGAAACATCAACAATTTTCACGAATAGGAGTAATTAAAATATAATTCGAGTAAAAAAATACTCCGTAAATATATTTAGAGTAGCTGAAGAAAATTTTGTGCTTTTTTAGGTTAGGAGATTCGATGTTATGACACCGAGCTTACCTTGATGTTCCACCATAGTTATTTAAGTCACGATGCGCACCGATGCACAAAGGGGCTCTAGCGCCTCGATGCGCGATGCGCTATTGATGCACGTGCATCACGAACACAATGCGCACATTGAGGCATAAGTAGCATAGCATCTCTAAAAGAGTAATAGTACATATAAGATGTTGAAAAACATACGAAAACCTTTGAAAGCAACAAAGAATCAAGGTATAGACTTCATGGATTTTGTTACAAATTAGGCAAATAGTGTCATGCCATTTGTTTTTGTGACCCTTGAAACATACTTCCATCTCGGATCATAAGACCCCAAAATTTAGAGATTCTTACATTCTTGAAACTTGAAAGAGTGTACAAAATATAAATACAAAAAAGAGGTGAAAAGGGGGGAAAGCTCGCAAAAAACTGAAATAAATATTGTGAAAACAAATAATAAAAGGAGCTACTAACTTACTAAACTTATTCTCAAACCTCAAATACTAGTATACTACATCAATTTTATTCTCAAACCCGAAAAATATACAGTATATTTAATTTCAAAGCAAAATTGCAAGATAAATAAAAAACTGAAATCAATAGTAAGTTTAATTTCAGTTTTTTTCACAAATGTCAAGCGCATACAAAAATCAAAAGCAATTGAAGTTAAAAATAAAGAATAAATAAATAAAGAGGGGCTTCGGATCTGGAATGTGACTTCAACGCAGTCCAAGTCGACAAGTGATGGAGTTCTAGGGTTTTTTAAAAAAAAAAATGAAATTTGGATGGCTCTTATCGGGTCGGCTCCTGAAAAAACATCGTATACTTCGACCAGCGGTCAATTACTCTAGGCGACATCTTTCCGACAGCAACCATAGAAAGCATTATGTGCCAATTAACCATAAACTTCAACCACCCATATTTCACTTTCTTAAGCTCTATGCTCAATCAAAATAAACATAAATTGGGATGGAGAGGGTATAAGTTTATAATATCATATTGTAGATGCTATAAAGGGATTTTATTATCTCTACTCTCAAAAGTATTAGGGTTTAAAATTTAAGTCAAAGTAGTCCCATGATTCACATATAGACTCCTCAGATTTGGTTTGTTGGTTATATGTCTTACTTCCCAATAGGAAGGTTCTTATGTCATTCCTTATCCATCATCCCATCTTAAAGAGAACGGTATAAACAAAAGACGCTAATACAGTATTCCTTTAGGAACATAGCATCATCGTTCAAACATTAAATCTAAAAGCATTTAAAAAATTAAAGCTTAGAAACCTCTCTGTAAGACAGTCCCCAATGGGAATTGGGGTTTAAATATCCTAATTGAATGTTAATAAGGAAAACAGTGAAAAAAATTGAAAAAACAAAAGAAAGCATGTAGGTAGCTTCTCTGTGGAACTTCCTTCTCCATCATACTTGTGTTTCCACAATCACTATCTCCGGATTCTACTCTCTCCTCCTTTCTATCTTTATAATTTTTTATTATATTCTACAATCTCTAAACCTGCCATTGAGGGTATTCTAAGACTAACACAAATTTTGATTCACTTAATTGCAACTATATACTATCATGAATCTATTGTTAAAAGGAAAACAAATCAGAAAGTAAAATTAACCAGAAAGGATGTCCCTCTCCAGCACTTGTGGAGTGACAAAGAAAACTAGTTTTTTCTTTCCAAAAGCTAGCTCTTCTAATAGGACTTGTTTGACCAGTAAGATCAATCGCACACTCCTGCATTCCATTTAGTAAAAACTGTCTCAGAGTTTGTAAATATGTAAACATATTGTGTCCACAAATAATCTAAAGGAAACAATGTTTTAGCTTCCCTTCCTTCTTATGTTTTATGAAGTTTTGGTTAGTAAGATCTTGTTCTTTTTGTCTAATCTAATTAGATCTGATCTGATTCTATTAAGATTTGATCCCTAATTGTAGTTATATTTAAAGTTGTTTTTTATCTCATTTGGTCTAAACTGGTTTGATAGGATTCTAGTAAGAATAAGTAATCAGAATAAGTTGAAGAGAACAAGCTCTAAATGCATCTGTGCATCAAGGGTCTAACAGAAACAGCCTTTTTGTTTTACCGGGGTAAGGTTGCGCACATTTTGACCTCAAGGCCCCAACATAATTAAAATTATACTAGGTTTGTTGTTATTGTGTCCACAAACTATAAACTAGAATCACAAAGGTACAGTCAGTCACAAAAAAAGAGGGCTAGAAAGCCTCACCTGTGGTATATCTACAATGTTATGGCATGCTTCAATCTGTTGCAAAACTAGGGGCTTAGAAGGAGCTGCAAAAACTATTTTTCCTGCCATGATGTCACATATACAGAGTAAATACTATATTTTTGGTACAGTTGTTCCTTTTGGATAGAAACTGCTAGAATAAAAACATAAATTTCAAAAAAAAAGCCTTTCACAATTCATGCAAACTAATGAAGTCATTGTGTAAGGTACATGTAGGTTTGAATCCAAAGCAATGCAAATAATAGAAACTCTGAATTTGTATGTGATGCCCATAACTTCCGGCATAAAGAGCTCATCTATATTGACAAAATAAGGAATATTTGCTCCAATAAATAACTCTACTTCAGTAAATATGTATATAATTCATTACAAGAAATTAAGACCTTATCAAGACAACATTATTTTCAGCTTAGTTGGACCTTACTGAGAGTAATGAGATCTTATCTATATTCAGCTTTTGCAGTGTTTAGATAGGATTGCCATAAGCATATTGATATAGTTCCAAGCAGTTCACTTTAACTTATTTCTTTATGCCATTTTCCAGAAAGAAAAAAATACCATCAAGAACACTTAATCACATGCAATGACAAAAATGCTAAAAAGTGATGCAGTACCTTCTGGAAACCACCTAAAATAATTATACATTACAACGGCAGCGATGAATGTTTTTCCAAGCCCAGTAGCTAATGCCACTAAGGTATAGGAATATAGTGCAGTCCTCGTGATTTCGAATT